GGGGCGGGTCCAGGCCTCACCATCGCAGTCCGCCTCATCCGAGCGGTCCTGGCAGTCCGCCTCACCGTCGCAGCGCAGACGCAGGTCCACGCACTGGCCTCGCGCGCAGGGGAACTGGGCGGCCGAGCACACGGGACAGCCCTCCTCGTCGCTCTGGTCGTCACACTCGGGGAAGCCATCGCAGCGCCAGGCGCCAGGGATGCAGTCGATCTCCCCCGTGGCACAGGCGAACTGGTCCGGCGAGCACGTGGGGGGCTCTGGCGGGAGGAAAGGCCATCACAGGCCGCCCCCCACCCCTGGCCAAGCAGGTGGTGCCGGTGTGATCCACTGGCCCCTGCGTCCTGCCGCTGAAGGCGGGTAACAGTGCTGGCTGGGGGGCGGCAGGAGTCTTTGTGGGGGTTCCTGTGCGGGGGGAGCCCGAGTTGTAAGCGGCAGTCCTGTCTTCTGGGAAAGGGGGTGCTTGCTTCTTTGGGCCTGGCCTCACATGCACCCCAAGGACACAGGGAAGGCCTCTGGGGAGCCGCTGGCCCCAGCAGGAGGCTCCGCCCCCAGTGGGCGTGTCAGGAAGTGGGAGGCCGAGCGCAGGGGGACAACTCGGGCAGGCCAGCACACCCGCTGCACGGTGGGCGGCAGTGGCCGTGAGCTGGGAGGGGAGCGGTGGACATCGGGAGCCACCTGCGACGGGTGACACGGTGCACTCCTCGGGGACGGGGGCACCGGACACCCGGTTACCAGAGGAGAGGGGCAGGCGCGGCCCTGGCCTGGCTGCCGCCTCCCTGGTGCGCCACCCTCCCTGCGGGGCCGCCGCGGTCAGCCCAAAGCCTGGCTGACGCCTCGAGAGAAGGCTGATTCACTCGGAGGCGGCCGCGCGCGCGGCTCCTGGGTGTCGGGGCCCCGGGGCCCCGTAAGTGCCACTACACCCAGCCGAACGGCGACAGGGACAGGGCCGCAGCCTGGAGTGGGCACAGGTGCCGGAGACGGAGGCTGGCGCCCGCGTTGCAGCTCACCTGGAGCGCGGGGCAGTCTCGCCAGCGCCGAACCCCAAAGTCTAGTGTAGCCGCAGCAGGCGCGCGGGGCCCTCGCGCCACCCTAAATCCTCCCAGGCCGGAGCTGTCTGCGTGGGGAGGGCACAGGCGGGAGCGGGAGAGGGCGCCGGGCCCCGACGGACCACGCCCAGGGCACACCTACCACCGCAGGTCAGCAGGTCCTGCAGAAGTACGAGGTGGACCGGGCACGAGCACCTCGGTGTCCCGTCGCCCTTGGCCACGCAGATGTGGGAGCAGCCGCCGTTGTCCTGGGCACACGGGTGGGCCGCTGCGCAGGGGAGGGGGGGGCGGTCAGCGTCTCGCTGCGCCCCAGCCTGGCGCCCGGAGGGGAAGTGGGAACGAGGGCCCAGCCAGAGTGGACGCCTGCGGGATGGGCCCTGAGCTGCCTCACTCGAGCCCTGGGCAGCCTCGTGTTTCCACTGGCGCCGCGCCTGGCAGTCACAAGACAGCCCGAGTTCGCCGACGGCACCACCCCACGGCCGTCACCGCACCACCTGCCCGTCTGCCCCCGCGCTGGAGGGGCCCCGAAACGCGCGTAAGCACACGCTGACTCGGGCTGGGGAAGGTGGCCTTATCTGGACAAGGGGTCCTGCAAGTCACACTGAGGACCTTGAGATGAAGTCGTGGGTTCTGAGTGGGTCCTAAAGCCAGCGACGAGTGTCCAAGGGGGTGGTGGGGGCGGGGGGCAATGGGATGGCAGCGCCCAGGGGAGCACGGGGCGGGGGGAGCACCGTCCGCGGACCCCTTGGCTCCGGCCTGCAGCCACCATGAGAGCCTCCCCGCTGCTGGAGGGCCCGTGCTCGTGGGGGCTGAGACACCCCGGGGGACCTGCTGCCGCTCCACTAACGGGTGCGTCCCACCTGGGCGCGGGTGGGGCCGGGGCCCGACCCCACACACATCACACAGTTACCCCAACCCAAGGGCTGGGCCTCTTCAAGTGACAGAAGCAGCTTAGCGCCAGGGTGGGACTCGGCTCCCTAAGCAGAAACGCAGTGATCTGGCTTCCTGGCCAGCCGCCTCGCCCCGGGGCTCCAGTCTGAGGCTGGGGCGACTGGAGCCAGGTGACCCTCCCGCTGGCCTGGGAGGGCTGCGCCTGGCTTGGTGTCAAGCTGTGGTCTGGAGGAGCAGGCTGGGCGACCATGTCCCATATACACGGAAAAGCCCACGAGAGGTTGTCCCCCCGCGTCCCCAGCGGGGACCCCCACGCCCCGTCACCTAGACTGCCTATCAGTGCTGGGGCGGGGGTCCTGGTGTGCGCCTCAAACTTGCTCTCCAAAGGCTCCTGTCTTCCATGCTGGGGTCCCCCTCCCGTGAGTGGCTGGCCCATGGGCCTGGCTCTCTGTCCACATTGGTGGGCAGCAGCTCTGGCCACTGGCGGGCTCACCACTCACCGTCTGTCCCACCACCAGCCTGGGACACCGCCCAGGAGTCTGTGGCTTTGCCGGGGTCGGGGGAAGGGGCCAGGCGGACAGATGTCCTGACCCGCCCCAGAGACAGGACCCATCTGCCAGGTGACTCCCCTGATGAGACCCCGCAAGGCAGAAACCGGCCACCTGGCCGTCAGCACAGAAGTGGCCCTTTCCCGCACGCGGGGCCACGGCTCTGGGCCCGGAGCAGGGGGCCCGGCGCTCGCTTGAGCAGGGAGGAGCCGCACCTCGCAGGCACGAGCCCACGCAGGAAGGCAGAGGGGGGCCTGCACCCCCAGCCGGGGCTGAAGGCCGATGGGGAGGACAGGCGCTCCGTGCGGCCGCCCCTCCCAGGGGCAGGCAGAGCCTCAGATGGCCCGGACGCCCGTACAGCGGCCCTGATGATTGTCGAGGCTTTGTTGCTGGCTCAGCGCAGGGGTCTGCAGGCGTGACCAGGCTGCTGACCCGCCGACAGCGCGGCCCAGAGGGACACGGTCTGCAGCGGACGGGCTAGCCACAGACCCGCCAAGGGCGGGGCCCCTGCCGGCCAGGAGAGGGTGTCAGCGGGGTCGTGACAGCTGCGGGACGGTGGGGGCCACAGACCGGCGCCCGGCCGGCCTCCCGGAGCTGGGAGCGGTGCCAGCCAAGGGCCGGAAGGACGGCGGCACGGCCTGTAACCAGCCCCCGCCCGAGTCCCCGCCCCCAGGAGCTCGGCAGGGCCTCGCCTCTGCAGCCCTTGGCCTCAAGCCCTCTACCCCTGGCAACACAGCCAGAGGCTGTGGGGATGGCGCACTCCCGGGCCTCGGCGCTGACCGGCTGGTACGCAGCTGGGCCCCCACGCTGGCCTGGCCTCCTCTCTAAGGGGCTGCTGCGCCCTGCCTCATGCCCCCCGGCCCCCTCCCCCCACTGGCGGCTGCCCCACGCACAGAACTCCTCCGGGCTGACGTCCTCCACGGCATGGATGCCGGTCAGGTGGGCGACACGGCCCTGGACCCGGGTCCGCTGGCTCCCTGTGGTCTTTTCCACCCGCTCGATCATCTGCTGCTGGCGGTCCGCCCAGTAGAGGTGCTTGCCCAGCACGGTCAGGCCCACGGGCTGCACGATGTCGGCGTCCTGCAGGGTCAGGCGGTTGGCCCCTGCAAGCATGACGGGCTGAGTGGCAGCCGCCCGGTGCGCTCGGCCCGCGCCTGCACCGG